GTGCTCCCTACCCCGTCCATGCCCCCAGCCCCATCCCAGGGGACTGGCCTCCCTCCCTCACCTCTGCATCCATGGCCGCTTCCTGCCTCCTGCCAGCAAGCCCTTGGTGTCATGGGCAGAAGGACAGGAAGTTATCCGATCGCTGCCAGAAGCTGAGTTCTTCTACAGGCTTTATAGAAATAGAAGATGCAGGAATTGAAAAATTCCTAGAAACAGCTTGCGCTTTTAAGTTTTTTGTTTTATTTCAAAACGTTCTATTTTTATATGTGCCAGAGGCTAACAGCAACAATTTCGATGGCACCCATTCTTCTTCATGCACACCAAATCATATAATGAGAATGTTTCAGGATCAATTAAGAAGACGGTCTACACTAAGGAGATAATGCCCATAGGACATTAAAACAATTGCTAAACCCAGAAGGCCATCTTGTACAGGCTGGGTGGGACAAGTTTCAGTGTCTTTTAGGGCCACCCCCCCCACCTTTTTTTTTTTTTTTTTTTTGACCGAGTTTGAAGTGATGGCTGTTGTGTGGAGTGGGAAACCTATCTGCTTACTTCTCTCTTCTGGACAGCCATCTCTGTCATTGTTGCTTTCTAGGAGCGAGCAGTTCTTCCACAATGTTTATCGACACAATGCCAAAGGCAGCTGAGGCAGGAGGATCGCTTGAGCCCAGGAGTTGGAGGTTGCTGTGAGCTAGGCTGACGCCACGGCACTCTAGCCCAGGCAACAGAGTGAGACTCTGTCTTTAAAAAAAAAAAAAAAAGGAAAGGGTGGAAAAGCTGCCCCAGACTGGCTTTTTGTGAAGAAGAAGGACCTTGAAAGGAGCACTGCCCACAATCGAAAAGGACTCCCGGTGGCAGGAGCCCCAGGAGAGCAAATAGCATTTTTAGGTCCAGGACTCACACGGTGAGGAAGGGGCCCGGAGCCCCCTGCCTCCAAATATCCCAGAGGAGCCACGGGCAAAACTGACAGAGGGGGTTCAAGTGGCACCAGCCTTGTGGACAGCAGCAGTCTGGGGGACCCTTCCCTGGCCGCCACCCTGATCTCCAGCGCCCAGCTGTGCCTGGTGCTCTGAGACCCAGGCCAGGGGCAGCGGGGGGGGGGGGCAGGTGGCAGTGAGGCAGCCGTAGACAAGCAGCGGCTGAGAAACCCGTCACAGCAGGCCCGGGCGAGCAGCAGGAGCTCAGCTCTGCAAGGGGGCGGGCAGGGTGCCACCAACCCCCGCTGGACGAATACCAGGGCCTGCTGAAGTATGCGGGAGACTGCCATTGTGCTTTGAACTTTGGGCCCCAGCAAACCTGCACAGCACGGCAGCATTGCCCAGAATAAAGCTGCCAAAAGTGAGTCAGGATATGAAGTGTGCCACCAGAATCATGGCCCTAATACAGCTTTGGCTGAGCCCGAACAGGTGGCCAGCATGACAAAAAGCACTCAGACCACTGGCAGAGCGGCTAAGGAGGCCGCTGGAGGTGATCTGTTCCTCAGGGCCTTGACACCCCAGCTAGATTTAGACCCCTTTAAAACTAAAGGCTGGGGCTCTGACATTCGGGACGGCACAGCTAGATGGAGAGAGAATTCTCAGACTCGGCTCCTGCCCAAAGCGCTGGCCCGCGTTTGTGCGGCACCTACATGAATACACACTTTGGGAGCGTGACGTGGTGATGGATTTGGTGGCACCTCATTTGAGAGGACGCCATTTGCAACTAACCGTTTATGTCCTTGGGGTGGCCCAAGGTCACAAAGGCAACCCGCTGCACAGACAACCCAGCATGTGGGGTCCCCTTTTCGATGATTGACAGTTTCACGTGGATACCAAGGCTTGTATCAGTAGCTCCCTTTTCGGGCTGGGTAGAGAGTTGTCCTTCCCAAACGGAGAGACCGCCCGAGGCTCTGAGATGGGCTCCTACCAGCAGCTGCTGGCCCGAGACAGGGCCTTCGCCGAGTCCTGCACTCGCTGCCAGCACAGAGCAGGCGCGGGCTCAGAGGGCGACAGGATGCTGGGCAGCGGCAGTCCAGGGAAAGAGTCCGAGCAGGCGGAGAAGGGCACCAGGGCTGGTGACGGACGGACAGCCACAGACGCGGCTCAGCACTCCTCCTCCTACAGCGTGGACATCAGCAGGCGCCCGTTGCCATCAGGACCCGGGAGCACACTCCGCGGGGCTCTGGGCGGCACAAGAATGACAAGGGACACCCCTTTGCAGCGGACGTAACCCAACAAGTAAGCAAAGCCCTGCACCTAGGTAGGGCATTTCTGCTCGCCTTCCTCTGCATAAGGGTAGGCTTTTAGAAATGGGCTTAATCTGAGCCACTAAGAAATAATTTATAAAAAATGTTTCCTAGCACCCCAAGATAAGTATGGTAACATAAGCATGAGTAAGAAAAGGTAGAATAATGCAACATGTCAAATGAGTGGGCCAGGTGCTAAGCACTGTGCATGAGTTTGTCCCTTTCAGGACCCTGCTCCAGTTGGAAACAGAAGAGGAAGGGCCACTACGAAGTGCCTCTAACAACTCACACCTCGTTAAAATTGTCAGAAGTGACACCGTGGGTCCATGACACCAAAGACAGAAGGACAGCTCCTTAGTGAGGATTTCCCTGGGCTGTCGCCTCCTCTGTTGATCTGTCCCACTGCTGGGTCCTGTTAGGGACTGGGCCACAGAGTTCTACTGCCCCCCTGCCCATCCATGGAAAACTTATTTCCCAAGAAACTTAGGAACTGGGGGCCACACAGAAGGAGGCATGCCAAAAGGTTGGGGACCACTGACCTACAGAGTACGACTCATAGCTCTGCACTCTGAGGTCCCATGTTTCTTTCCTGACCCAGCCTGCATCAGACATTGCGTGCAAGACAGTCTACCTCGCCTTGTCAGTCCTCATGCTTGTAGTTACTGCTTATGCCGTTTTTCATCTGACGATCTGTGTCTTCCATCTAAAACATCCCAATTCAAAAGAAGAAAAAATAAACAAAAAAAAGAAAAAAAAAAAGTAAAACATCCCAATTCAGCCGGAAGTAGCTTGATGACTACGTCACCCCTCCTCCCATAGATATGGAAGGGCAAAATTCATGGTAGGGACTATGTAACAGAGAAAATGGGCTGAAAAAGGATGAAAGATGTTTCCTGTCTCTTCAAAACCCCCTTACTCTTTTTGAGAACTAAAACCTACATTTCTGCTGCAGGCCCGTGGTCAAGAGGGGCTGGAGTGTCCTTTGTTCTTTGTGCCACAGGAGATGGCTCAAGGGAATAATCCAGGCGGAAGTCACATGATTGTCTTAGCCAAAGATAGGATGAACCAGAACCTTTAAAAGCTCTGTACTTCTGCTCAAAAGCAGGACGTTGGTACTTCAAGATGGGAGTCTGGTAGTCTCCTCATCTGTTAGCAAATTAATAAACTCCTCTTTCCTTCTCCTAAAAAAAAAAAAAAGACATAAACAGACATTTTTCAAAAGAAGATATAATGATGGCCAATAAACATGAAAAAATGCTCAACATCACTAATCATCAGAGAAATGCAAATTAAAACCACAATGAGATATCACTTTACTCCTGTCAGAATGGGCTTTACTAAAGAATTATGAAACAATAGATGTTGGCATGGGTGTGGTGAAAAGGGAAGGCTTATACACTGTTGGTGGGACTGTAAATTAGTCAACCTCTGTGGAAAACAGCATGGAGATTTGTCAAAGAACTGAATATAGACCTACCATTCAATCCAGCAATCCCACTACTGGGGACTACCCAAAGGAAAAGAAGTCATTATATCAAAAAGGCACATTCACTCCTTTGTTTATCACAATTCACAACTGTAAAGATGTGGAATAAATATAAGTGCCCATCAACTGATGAGTGGACAAAGAAATGTAGTATACATACACCAGGGAATATTATTCAGCCATAAAAAAGAATGAAATAACATCTTTTGTAGCAACTTGGATAGAACTAGAAGACATAACCATGAGTGAAGGATCTCAGGAAAGAAAAAAGAAGAGCCACATGTATTCAGTTAGAAGTGGGGCTAAACCATGATGATATGTGGTCACATAGAGTGGCAAAATGGACTTAAGGGGGGAGGGGAGAAGCAGCTGAGGGGTCAGAAATTACCCCTTGGGCACAATGTCTACTATTTGGGTGACAGGTGCACTAAAAGTCCTTACTTCACCACCATACCATTCATCCATGTATCAAAAAACCACTTACACCCCTCTAAATCTACTGAAACAAAAATAAAAATAAAATAAAATAAAATTTAATAAAGAGCTGGCTAAACTGGAGTTTCTAAAGAAAAGACAGCGCCTTCCTCTATGTTTCATTCTCTCCCACCCTACTCAGGATTTTTCACAAGCTGTAGATGAAAGACAGAGCCACAGTTCCCAGAGACATTTTCTTCCAGATCATTGTATCTCATGCAAACACGGCTCTCCGCTGAAGCCCAGCAGGACCTGGCTCTTATCTTTACTATCTTCACTTCAACCTCCTGGCGCAACCATATGGTAATTTTTTATTTCCTTATGAGACCAGATATGATTAATGATTTTTATTTGCTATTGTTCTTAAGTAAAGTATGGCAAGAGCTGGGCACCTGTTCTGACAAATACTGAATATTTACAGTAAGAGCAGTAAACACGCAATGAACACACATCTCCTTAACATTCTTTGTTTAGAAAATCACACATCTTTGCCTTTTATTGGTCCATAAAAATTAACAAGAAGTTTTCCTTTGTATGTTGAATCGGGGCAGAAAAATACTGTGATTATGTATCACTATGGGTCCACATTATTTGCTCTGGGAAATTAATAAAAGGACAGAGAACACTCCCCATCCCTCGTTCCCGAGAAGGTCACCAGGTTGTCCTGGTGGGGTAAAGCCCTCCATGGCTTCTATGTAGTGAATGGGCAATTCCAGCTCTGGTCTCCACTTTTCAGGCAATTGGAGATGTCCCCGTCTAGGGAGCTGGCCGGGAGCAGTGCAGAGCTATCTATGTAGTAACCAGCTTCTTCGGTTAAAGAACAATGACTGTTGAAGAATATGATTTTCAAGCTATGTAAATAAGCTCTTGATTGAATCAGCTTTGCCACCAGGCATGCGTATATTGGCCTCTCCCTTTCCCAAAGCTGTCATAGTTTTTCTACTTCCTTAACTTAAATATCTCAATTATCATTTTTCTTATTAAAGAAGTTAGGCTTTTCCCTATGAATACAGCTGAGAGCATCTTGTAAATTTTAGTAGGTAGCTTTCCAAAAAGTCCACAATTTCTTCTTTGAAACGATGCTCAACTAGGATTTTTGTTAGTTTATTGGTTAGTTGGTTTATATGTTTGTTTAAGCCTGTGTAATTAAATTTTATTCTAGCTTTCAGGATATCTGACATGTATGATTTCTGCTCTTTGAAGATAATAGGAGTTTTGTCTACAGCCTAGTGCATTTTGTAAGTCTTCCATAATGTTCAGGAAAGACAGTCTCCGTATGTAGAGGATGCAGCACTAATATCAGTAATAATGTTACCTGATTACTATTATTATTCAAATTCTTTACATATCATGTACACGTTTGATTATGAAGGAATAATGTGCATGTGAATTAATTACCTGGCGATCTTGTTAGGATATAGATTCTGCTTCAGTAGGGGTGGGGTGGGCGTCTCTGCATCTCTTATAAGCACCCCAGGGATGCCCAGGCTGCTGGGCCGTGAACCTCACCTTGGGTAGCAAAGGCGTAAGCCTTTGTTAGCCTTTTGTAACCTGGTGCCCAGACTTCCTAGTGAATAGTGGCCCAACCTTTATGCATGACTCTCCCTTAGATTAGGTTGGTACTTCCAAGTTTCCATTAAGTGTTTACTTCTCCCATTTTCTCTATAATTCTAACTTTTAAAATATCACATTATTTAATTTCTTGACTGTGCAGTTTTCCTTTTATCGATAGAAAATGACCCTCTCTGGTAGGTCTCAGTCTGCTTTGCCTGGAACTATACTCTATAAGATGTTTATGAAACCATCCTGATTTCTATTTGTTTGAATTTGCCCAATATGTGCCCAAAATATAACAGGTGCTCAATAAATATTAATTGCATGAATAAAATTGTCACCATCTTTTTATTTTTGACCTTTATTATTTTATTTCAAGAAGAGTTTTTTTTTAAACCTAGAGTCACTTGATGAGAATCTCAAATTTACCCTCTAGGTTGCTGGTTTGATGTCAGGAGTGTCAATTCTATGCTTTGCTACTTCCGTTTTGAGGTTTTGTTGGTTGATTTGTTTGCTTTGACTATCACATTTCTAGCTTATTGCATAAGTTGCCCCTTCACTTGGATTCCACTTAGATTCCAGCCTTTGCCTATCGGGTCAAAGCACCCACTTCACACAGGCTGTACCATTCACAGACTGGGGGAAGACCAATGAAGCAACTGCTTTCTAAAATTATAATTTGTTTCTTATATGCAGTTATTTCATTTTATATTTTGGGGTGGTGTTCACCTCCTTTGTGCTGCAGTATCCTTTTATAAGCCCCATTTTAGTTTCTTCTTGTTTAGTTGTTTAAAAAATTATATCTATCCAGACACTGCATTGGGCACAAGATAGGATGAGTGGGACAATGTTAAGTTTCCATTCTATGCACTTGGGCACTTGTTTTGCAGCTAAAGCTAAATGTTCAATTTATGTGCACAGCACCCAGCCATTCGATGCACAGTCTTCACTGAGCAGCACGGTATGTGGGGCTAGCCAGACCTCCTCGTGAGCTGTTCTCTGTGCACACGGGATTGCTTTTCCTTAGGTCACTAAACATCCCAGACGCCATGTGCTTTCTCCAGACCTCTTTCATTCGATTTGTTACATTCATGAAGAAGCCAGGATGATAAAGAGAGGCAGTGACGTTGCAGGGTATGGCTAGAGACAGCAGGAGGATTCTAATGGGCAAAGACAATACTTCATAGTCAGTTCAGGAATTGCCAAATTTCCCAGGGGTTGGTAGAGTTCTTCAACCTAAAAAAGGCATAGAGAAGAGAGGTAAAACAAAATAGTTTCCTATTTCCTTTGGGAATATTAAGCTCCAATCTGGTCCAAAGGCTGAAGTATGTGGTATGACTCAGAGACTATGCCCAATAGTGATGGAAAATCTTTTACTGTGGGTGCCATTGTCGATTTTGTTGGACATAGACATAGAAGGAATAGCTACTCATATATCATGTTAACCCAATAATTTAACCCCAAAATACAATAAACTAGAGAAGTAAGAAACCTGTGATCAGACCTCATTAGTGAGGTATACTAGAAAATGCATGGAGTTCCCATTCCAGATATTTCCCCCACTGCACATGACCTGGAGAACTTGCATAATCTCAGAGGACCTTTGTTTGCATCATGTGTAAAATAATTTAGACTACATAATCCCATGTAGCTGTAAAGATTTTTGTAAAAACTTCAAAGTGCAATAGAAATGTTTTAATTTTTCCTACAGAGTTTTAGAGTCAAAAAAGCCTTAGAGAGCAGAGAAGTTCTCAAATTTTCAAAAGGCATAATGCTTAGAATTCTAATGCTTAGAATGCTGCCATTAAATTCAGAGTAACTGTACAATTCTGAGATCTTAGAATATTTTTTTATTATTTTTATTTTAGCGTATTATGGGGATACAAGTGTTGTTAAGGTTACTTATATTGCCCATGCCTGCCCCCCACCCCCCCCCCCCGAGACAGAGTCTCACTTTGTTGCCCAGGCTAGAGTGAGTGCTGTGGTGTCAGCCTAGTTCACAGCAACCTCCAACTCCTGGGCTCAAGCGATCCTCCTGCCTCAGCCTCCTCCCGAGTAGCTGGGACTACAGGCATGCGCCACCATGCCCGGCTAATTTTTTCTATATATATATTAGTTGGCCAATTAATTTCTTTCTATTTATAGTAGAGACGGGGTCTCGCTCTTGCTCAAGCTGGTTTCGAACTCCTGACCTCGAGCAATCCTCCTGCCTCGGCCTCCCAGAGAGCTAGGAGTACAGGCGTGAGCTACCGCGCCAGGCGAGACCTTAGAATAAACATATGGAAACTGATGTCAAAAGTTTAAGTTTATGGTAGAAGGAGAAAAATTATATTCTTTTGCTTAATTCTACTTCCTACCATTTTCACCTTCTATACAATACGCTTGCACACGGATGCTTTTTACTTATCTATTTGCTTCTAGAAGAGTTGTACAAACTGGCCTCTGATGGACTTTTACTGAACTTTTCAGACTCTTAGGAATATTATTTTACATGAGGTGCACAAACACACTCTGCTATTAAACCTCGTTGGCTAACTAATGATTGCAAAATTATGATAGCGTGATTAGGAAGAAACCTGGAAACTTTTGACTCAGTGGCTCAGGCACTGGGCCTGGTCCTTTTTTCTCTTTCTAGTTATTGTGTGGTGTTCCAAGTAGATTTTAATTCCATGAGAGCAAGATTAAACATTTCTTTCTTTATTTGCTTTTTAAGGGCAGAGGCTTTGAAGCAAAGTCGAAATGTGTGGTGGCATGCCAACCTGGAACGTGTCCACGTAGAATGAGAAACGTGTTTTTTTCTTTTCTTTGTGCAGTGGTGCAAACAGGGTGAGCACTCAGAGGAGGCTCTGGAGGGTTGGGTGTTTTTGCTAGTGTATACGTATGTCCGGGAGGGCCTGTCTCCTAAAGACCGGGAGATTTTCATTTACTTTTCTCGTGATAACCCTGCAGTTCCATGAGTCTTGCAATTGTTCGATAAACATGTGAGAAGCTCAGAAAGCACAATGACAGAGATGGCTGTCCAGAAGGAGAGTAAGCAGATATTTCCACTCCACAACCATGACCTTCAACTCTGGCAAAAAAAAAAAAGGTGGGGGGGTGGCTAAAAGACACTGAAATTTTCCACCCAGCTGTACAGCTGGCCTTCTGGGTTAGAATTGTTTATGTCTCTATGGCATTATCTCCTTATTAGACCTTCTTCTTAATTGACCTGAAACATCCATATGATTGGTGGCCAGAGAAATGTGCATGAAATTGTTGCTGTTTACCTCCTGGCATATAAAATAGAACTTTGAAATAAAACAAAAAACTTAAAAGCCAAGCTTTTTAGGAATTTTTTTCAATTCCTGCATCTTTCTTTTCTATAAAGCCTGTAGAAGACTCAGGCTTCTGGCACGATGGTAACTCCTGTCCCTTCTGCCCATGACACCAGGGCTTGCTGCAGGAGGCAGGAAGAGGCTGGGATGCAGAGGGAGGGAGGGAGGCCAGTCCCCCTGGGATGGGGCTGGGGGGTGGACGGGGATAGGGAGAAGGAGGAACAGTGTAAGCATCTCCACTTCTCTCTGGCTTCAGCCAGGACCAGCCAGGACTGGGCCTCAGGAAGGGGAGGGGGTGCTCGGGGCAGAGGAGCTGTTGGGTCTTGTCTGAGTCTACGCAAACAGTGGGCCAGAAGCCACCCAGCCCAACCTAGGGCAGAGCCACCTCGGAGTTCAATTCAGCAACAAAGAGCGATTAGACAGAAATTAACCCTAAAGATTTGCTTTTCAGGGCAGCTTTCTGGCACTGAAAGGCAGGGACAGAAACTCAATATTCCATTAACTTCTTGTTGCAGGAGAGAGCAGGGGGAGGAGGGGAATGACTGAGCAATTAGGTAACTTGTGAGCTAGGTGACAGCCCTGCCCAGGGCTGGATTGGCCAGGCGGGACAGACTGCCCAGCTTTGGCTTGGGCTGGAGCATCAGAGCTGGAGACCAGCCGGGGACAGGGTTTTGTTGTCACAGCGAGAGGTCAGGTGAGCTGGGTGATTAGGAGAGCAACCCTGGGCTCTAAACAACCAAAATAAGCCAAACCACGAGCTCCACCAGAGGAAGCCCACGGCAGGCAGGCAGATAGGCACATCATGGTGAAGACAGAGGGAGAAAAGCATCCCAAGGACTGAGGATCCCTCCTTTCCCCAGGCAAGGAGGTTGCAAGGTCTTCCTTCTCCCAGATGCCCTGGAAGAGAATCAGGGAACAGGGAGACTCTAGGAAACTGGGCATTTCTTTTTATCAAAGGATAAAGAGAACAATCTAAAGGAATTATTTAAATCATTGCCGTGGCCTGCATTTTTTAAGACATAATTTTAAAATCACATTTTGCCCATATTTATTAGAGGTAGCATGCATAAATGCATAAATTTTCAACCCTGTTATAATACAAATGCTTATTGAATAAGTGAATGAACTAAATAAGATAGAAGAGAAAAAAACAAAGATATTTAAAATGACCTATCTTCTTAAACAGTAGAGTTTCCCAGCAAAAGAAACACTAAAACCTAAACCATTGCTTTAGCTCTAAGATCACGATTCCCTCCAGGTGTTTGTCCCAGTGCAGATGAACCTAAGAAAAAATTGTGAAGTAGATATGATTTCTCTTCGACTCTCCCAAGACTCAACATTCTATTAAGCTACCTGATTTACTCTGTCTTTTAAACCATTGCAAATACCTTGCTCTCAGGGAAAACTCTGATATTAATTATAAATCTCAGGGTGAATTTTTTTAATGCTAGACGATAAAAGGTTTGGGGCATTTAAAAGTACTTCCTGTACAACCAAATCTAGTTTCCATCGCAATTATTTTGTATTATGCAAGAGACAACAAGAGTTAAAATAAACATAGCTACATGCTGTGTGACCTTGAGCAAAACATTTAACCTCTCTGAGCTTTCTTCATTTGTGAAAAAAATGGAGAACCCATCCTTGCTCTACCAACGCTGTTCATTTTTATGATGATTGAAGGAGACCACATTAGTGAAAGTGCTTTGTCTTCTTTGAAGAGTACAGTTATAATCATCATGTCAAAGACAAAGAACAAAGATATTTAGGGGTCAAGGCAGGCCTTCAGGATTGCCCTGGGATAGCACGTGTGCACTGACTCCTAATCCTTTGACAGCATGCCCCTGTGAGAGCCAGAGAAAGGAAGAGCGTCTAAATGCCCATGTAAGGTACAGTGGCCACGAGAGCCGTGGCATGCTCCCCAGACTGGCCCTCCACGTATTCTACACAACCTGGACTGTTAAATGTAAGCTTCTGAGTCGGTTCGTAATGGCTGTGAACACTTTCAGTGGTCAGGGAAGGGCTGATCACTGATGCCGCAGAAGAGCTCCCGTGGGTCCTGAGATAAAGAGGAAAACCAGGATTCTGTCACCCTGAGTAGGTCACCAGTCTGTTGCTCCAGTGACAAGTACAGAAGAGATGAAATTGCATGTAGACATCTAATTTTTAGCTCTGTCGAGGCATTCTTTGCTCGACGCCCTGTTCTCATGAGCAAGCGTTCAGAGCGAGTTCCTGTTTTCTGTAAAACCTGTTTTCCTTCGGCACTGGATCCTACGATGCCAACTGTCCACTGCCACGCCAGTCCTGGTGGGGTCCTGACTTTCTGTCATTTCAAAGGCTTTTCCCACAAAGACCGGATAATGCTCACAGGTCTGTTGAGGACCATCCATGACAGCCAGGTTTCCAAAAAGCTTCCCCAAACCTGGCAAATAGAAGCTACAGAAAGGGTCTGAATCTGCCCCAACAATTATATCAGAAGTCTGGCCAATTGCTCCTTCTTGAGCAAGGCACTGTGGTCCATGATGAGTATATGCTAGTGACATCACCATTTCTATGCAGGTGGCTCTGACTAGCACAGCCTCACCGGCTCTCTCAGGAGCTGGGACCCCAGTCCACTTTTGGTGCCTTAGTTTCAAGATCCTGGTGACACAGAAGAAATCTCTACAGTTAGCTCACATACCCTGTATCGAGCGATATCATTTATTTTCATGACACTTTTCAAATCATCCAGCAGCAGATTGCTTCCGAATAAAGCCTCCCGTCCAGCCTGGGGCAGTGACATTCCTGACAGGGACTTGATGGCCACGTTAGCCACAGATAGATTCTCTCCACCAGTGTAATAAACAACTTGCTCAAGTAATTCAGCATTATTTAGACTCTCAGTGACAGCATTAGAGTTTTCAGCAATTCGTCCAACCGGTGGTTCTCGTGGAGCAGGGAGATGACTCTGTCACTTGCTCACAAAGCTGGCTGAGCGGCACTCCCAGCCCCACCGCCCACCTCAGCGGCGCCAGGCCTGGGCCGCCATCTTGTCCTCCCCCAACCTATGGATGTTTTATGTTAATTTTGTATCCTACAACTTTATTGAATTCATTTATCAGTTCTAAATTTTTTTATATATAAAAATCATGTCATCTGCAAACAAGGACAATTTGACTTTCTCCTTTCCAATTTGGATGCCTTTTATTTCTTCTCTTGCCTAATTCCTGTGGCTAGGACTTCCAGTCCTACGTTAGAGCAAGGATGGGTTCTCCATTTTTTTCACAAATGAAGAAAGCTCAGAGAGGTTAAATGTCTTGCTCAAGGTCCCACAGCATGTAGATATGTTTACTTTAACTCTTGTTGTCTCTTGCATAATACAAAATAATTGCAATGGAAACTAGATTTGGTTGTACAGGAAGTACTTTTAAATGCCCCAAACCTTTTATCGTCTAGCATTAAAAAAATTCACCCTGAAAGAATGCTGAAAGTGGGCATCCTTGTCTTTCTTGTTGCAGTTCTTGGAGAAAAAGCTTTGAGCTGTTCCCTGTTCAATGTGACATTAGCTGTGGGTTTGTCATGAATAGTCTTTACTGTGTTGAGGTACATTCCTTCTATACCTCAACTGTTGAGAGTTTTTATCATGAAGTGATAAATTGCATTTTGTCAAATGCTTATTATGCATCTACTGAGATGATCATATGGTTTTTGTCTTTATTCTGTTGATGTAATGTATCACCTTTATTAATTTGCGTATGTTGAATCTTTCTTACATCTCGCGGATAAATCCCACTTGATGGTGCATAATCTTTTTGATGTGCTCTTGGATTTTGTTTGATAGTGTTTTGTGCAGGATTTTTATATCTGTATTTATGAGGGATATTGGTCTGCAGTTTTCTTTTTTCCTTGTGTCTTTTTTTTTCTGGTTTTTGTATCAGGGAAATTCTGGTCTCATAAAATGAGTTTGGAAGTATTTCCCTCCTCTTTGTTTTAAATTTTTGAGAAGAATTGGGATCAGTTCTTCACAAAATACAAATGAATGAGTGAAAATTTTAAAACAAATTTCATAGCATTGTACAAATAGGTATATATGGCTGGGAATAACATCTTCAGTGACTATGATATAAAGATTGGAAAGGCACTACACTTCAAACACCCTGAAAGTGCTCTGGGAAACTTCTATTTGCAGGCAAATGGCGAGGGTGTAAAACATCACAGAGGCGCCAAGGGCTGCATCAAACTCACAAAGAGCAGCTAAGGCCCCTCGGTCACCTCTGCTGGCTTCCCCTCTGTTTGCTGCTCTTGATCTTTCCCTTTCTTCTCAAGCCCCTTCATACTCGCTCCAGTGCTTTCTATCTTAGCAAATTATTCCCATCAGAAAAGACATCAGCTCAGGGAAGGAAAGAACAAAAAAATGAAAGAATAAGAAATAAAGACACCACTAAATCTGTGAACACATAAGTTTACTTGAGGGTCTTCTTCTGTACCAACGGCAGGGCCAGATGTCCCCCACCGTCGCCTCCCCCGCCCAGGTGTTCCTCAACCGCGCCACCGGCCGGCGGGCGGACGTGCCAACAGCGGGCAGGTGGGCAGGTGGCCGCGCCAGGGCGGGCAGGTGGGCAGGTGGCCGCGCCAGGGCGGGCAGGTGGGCAGGTGGCCGCGCCCGCGCAGGCCGAGCCGTTGGCGGCCCGCGTGCCCGCCCTGCGGACGTAACTGCCACTCCGCGGCGCCGGTAACGGCCGGACGGCGGTGACGCTGGACACACTGCACCGGGGGACAGCCGAGGTGAGCTTAGAGGAGGCGACGGCAGAGATCTTGACCCACATTGAGGCCAGCGGGCCCTGGTGAAGACCCTCGAGCAGGGGTCCACGCGTGCCCCAGGCCGGCGGGGAAACCGAGGCTTGGGGCGGAGGCGGGATGTCCCGGGCAGGCGGTTCCAGCTCCCCCGGGTCCAGCATGTCTCGGGACCCCTGCCTGTCACAGAGGACACCGGGAGGCGGCGCGGCGCAGGCCCTGGCCCGCCTCCCAGGCCCTGCCCTGTCCCACGACTAAAGGGAAGCGCGCTCTTTCGAAGCGAAGCGAACACAGGGGATGTGTCACAGGCGTGTGGGAGCCCAAAAGGGCACAAGGGCACACTGTGGCCTCCCAGAACACGCGGTCCTGGAGGGCCCAGGAGCACAAGGGGAGAAGCCAGACGGGCCTGCAGGGCAGGCTGGCGGGGTCTCCGTGGGCTGGCGGGGTCTCCGGGGGCTGGCGGGCGGCTGGGAGAGGCGCGGCGGCTCTGCCCACGGCCAACCCTCCTGAGGGGGGTGGGGGCTGCAGGGTGCTCCGGCGACACTGACCACCTGCGGGCCCTGTCCCCTCCGGGCCTTGAGACCTCCCTGCTGCTCTCTCAGGGGAGCCGCTGGGCAGCCCGAAGCCAGGAGAGCCGGAAACCGAGTCCTGACCAGCACGCAGAACAGACTAGAAAAGGGCAACCTTGCGGTGCCAGGCAACATGAGCAGCATGAGTTTATATCACTGACTCTAACCCCAGGCTGCGCTCAGCCCGCTTCCCCATCGCCCAGCCGCGCGTTGTCAGAGACAAAAGCGCCGCCGTCCCCACCGACCCACCTGCGCAGTCGCGCCACCGTCCCACCTGCCACAGCCCCACCGTCCCACCTGCCACAGTCCCACCGTCCACCTGCTACCGTGCCGCCACGTCCACCTGCCACCGTCCCACCATCCCACCTGCCCAGTCTCCACCGTCCCACCTGCCACAGTCCCCACCGTCCCGCCTGCCCCAGTCCCCACCGTCCCACCTGCCACAGTCCCCACCGTCCCGCCTGCACAGTCCCCACCGTCCACCCTGCACCAGCCCCACCCACTGCCATCCCACCGTCCCACCTGCACATCCCCACCGTCCCACCTGCCACAGTCCCCAACGTCCCACCTGCCACAATCCTCACCATCCCGCTGCCACAGTCCCCACTGGGAAGAGACTCCACGTCCCTGTCTCTCCCCCAGCGGCTCCTGGTCTCCTTCCTCGCTCCCTTGCTGACAAGCTCAGCAACCATCTGCCCCTTTTTTTTTTTTTTTTTTTTTTGAGGACAGAGTCTCAGCTTTGGTTGCTCCAGCTAGAGTGAGTGCGTGGCGTCAGCCTTAAGTCTCACAGCAACTCCAACTCCTGGGCTCAACGATCCTCCTGCCTCAGCCTCCTCCGAGTATTCTGGGACTACAGGCATGCGCCACCATGCCGGCTAATTTTTCTATATATATATTAGTTGGCCAATTAATTTCTTTCGCTATTTATAGTAGAGATCGGTCTCGCTCTTTGCTTCAGCTGGTTTCGAACTCCTGACCTTGCAGCATCCGTCCTCGCCTCGCCTCCCAGAGAGCTAGGAGTACAGGCGTAGCCACAGCCGCCCGCCTTATCTGCCCTTTCTTCCTCTCTGGTCACCTGCCCCCGGGCAGGGGGCTCTGGGCACCAAGCCCCGGGTGCCCTTCCCTCCTGGCTCTCCTCTCCACCGCTGCCTGCTGTCATCTGCAGACTCAGCCGAAATGAATGCTCTGACAATGAAAGCTGTTCCCTCTTCCCTTGTTACTGCACTTTTCTTGAAGACTGCTCTTCCCTCTCGGCTTTCTCTTTCAAGAAATTAATTCATACTGACATTTAAGAATGATCACCTCTTTTTGTCACTCTCAAGTCCATGCATTGTGTCATTTGGTATGGCCTGCCATCCCTGCGCTGCCCAACCCCAGCTGGACCTGCACTCAGCATGTGGCCAGGTGGCCTGAGCTTCGTCATGTCCAAATGAACCTCCCAGTTAGCCAAGAAAACCTTTCTCCCGCTCATGCAGGTTGGAATGTTTGGGATTCTGTTGGAATTATCACGAGTACTTTAAATTTTCATGAACAATTTCTTCTTCATTTCTTCTGTACTATTTCCCTAAGCCCTGAGACTAGAGCAGTAAGTGCAGACAGTGCTGGTGACTGAACTGGACCCAGATGGCCTGAATTCTAATTCTGATGTGGCCACAGGCCAGCTGGGGACCCTGCTTCTGGGCCTTGGTTTTCTCACCTATGAAAAGGAATAAGAATAGTGCTTACCTTGTACAGCTGGTCTGAGAATTAAGTAAATGAGTTAGCAAATGTAAAGCCCTTAGAACAGTGCCTGGCACATACTAAGTGCCACATAATTGTTAGCCAATATTATTATTATTATTCCTTAGGAACTTGAACTCTGGGAAAAACCTTTTAGAGTCTTTTCTCAGGCAGTTTGTATACTCTGTCTTAACTTCAGTTTCTTTACAAAGTGTGACTTATGATAATACCTTCCTAAGAAGAATTAAAAGATATAAGTAAAGCACTTAATCAAGTAATCATTCAATACATTTTGGCTATTATTTGTGATATAATGTGTGATGATCAATGAAAATAATACTATCTTATGGAAAATCATCATAGAATCTTTATCCTTAAAAAGCCATTTTCAATTTATAGATTGCACCCTTTCCTGATATATATGCATTTTTATATTATTAAAATCGTAGGAATCATGTCATTTTGCATTATTTTCAAATCACTTATACTATTTTGTTTCTGCATCATTTTAAACATGATCATTTGCATAGCACTTCATCGTACTGCTCTACAACATTTGCTGACACGTCTAGGTTTTGTGATTTTTGGCATTCAGAGGAAACTGCCAAGAATATCTGTACAGCTTTGCCTTTTGGCTTCTCTGAGAATTATCTCCCAAAATCGTTCACAGGGAGACCTATGAACAAATATTTTCAACATTCTATACCTGTTTTTTATGTTAGGATCAAGGCCAAGTTGGCAAAATATTTTCTAATTTGAGAATGAAGGAGATAACTTTAACTCTATAACTTTGGCTTCACTGTCTAAGTGAAATGAAGCTAAGACTTGATTTATGGTGTTAGATTTGGGTGAATTAAACATATTACCCTTGCAGCTAAGGCTTCTTGCTCCTTAGCCTGACTCAACCCTATAATATTTGAAAGCTATTAGACTCTGTATGCACCCATGGGAACAGTGGTATTGTTTTCCTTTACAAATACCTTTTAAATAAATATTAACCATATTGCTTTGCCAAGTCATTTGGCCTATAAAATGAGGCATTTGCATGGGATGATTTCTGAGGTCCTTGCCAGTTACAGTGTTTTTCCTTAGGCTTGCCAATGGTGAGGGCTATTTTTGTGGCTAGATAGCTGCATGTATTACTTAAACTGCTCTGCCCTTTTCCCCTTTTGTAGAAGAGTGGAAAGAACATGGGCTTCCGAATCAGATAGAGGTGACTTGGGATTCTGCCACTGCCACTTACAAGGTTTGGGACATCTTGGAAGATGATACGGCTCCCTATACTTGTGTAACCTCAATCTTCCAGTTTTAACTGTTTCATGGCCAGACATCTGACTTGGGCTGGAGACCTGACCCAGCTGAGTGATACACAGGTTTAAGATGAAAAATAAAAGCATTAGGGCCAGGGAGAAAGGAGAGAAAACAGAGACAGAAGCAAAGATGAGAGGTGGTCAGTTAGCTCCGGAGCCCCAGGTGTTCAACACATACCACCCACTTCTTCTCCTTTGATATTTCTGTGATTGCCTGTCATGTTCATGCTATAAAATTCTTACTAACCCCAGCCTAAGTATGGTTCTGTTCTTGAAGCCAACATCTCTGACTTAGAAAAGACATTCAGGAACCTGTAATCTTCTCTTCTTACTTCATCTGTAAAATGAGAATAATAATACCTTCCTTGTAGGGTTGCTCTGAGGATGATATTTGATAACATATTGAAAGTCTCCCAGTAGAGTCCTGAAAACCTAAGAATTCACATGATGTCTAATACCCTACCATGTCTGCCCATCATTCTGTAAGCACACCAATCCAATGAGTCTTTCAAATTGATTGCAACAAATGAGTTCCTTGATATCATTCAGCCTATCTAATAAGTAGCCAGACTACCTCCTCCGCACTACCTTCCACGAGTAAAGGTGGGAGAGTGGGAGACAGGATTAATGGCCATTCTCTAGAAGTGATGCCTGTTCAGTGCTCCACAATGAAGAGCTGGAAGGCCTTTCAGCCTCTCTGCTGGGTGGAACAGCGCACCCCTCCTACAGCTCTCAACACCTGCGTAATTGGTGTAGTTGGAAACAGCCAAGAATGTGGTGCCCTTGACAATTCTAGAGAAATGTACAGTTTATGTTTCTGTGTGTATGTTGACAGACTGCATCTAATTAAGTGGTTAAATGCACTGTGGCTCCCCAAGCGTTGGTAGAAGACTTGAGATTTATTAAAAATCAAACTCCTATTCTTTTTCCCGTATTTATGGCATTGAACAAAAGACAATGGAATACCCAAGTCAACTGTTGGTCTATTTGGCAAAACGATCATTATTGAGACTCTAAGTCAAACATCTTCTGTCTACCAAGCCTCCTCCGAGCCCTGCAATCAGGGTGCCCTCCCCCTGACGTTGCACTGCCGGGCTGGGCTGACCTGCTCACCTGTCTGCCTTTTCTCATCAATTTTATGGCTAATAATTGTAGCTGGTATTTGTTGCAGATTATCCTATCTGCCAGAGCTGCCTTACAAGCATTGTTTCATTCATTCATCAAACAGTCCTTTCAAGTAGTACTGTTGTTCCTCCACCTCTTACAGATAATAAAGCCAAGCCAGGGAGCAGTTACATAGTAAGGCCAAGTTCACACAGCTGCTAAGAAGTGGTGTCTACCTGATCCAAAGGCTGTGCCATAGCCACTGCCCCATCCTGCCTCTGGGCATGGGTAGACGTCATCTCTTATTCAACCCTGACACCCAGCTCTGAGCCTGGCAGAGGGAGGTGCTCAGTCACTGTCGACCAGTGTGGCACGGAGCAGAAATGCCGGGGACGGTGACACCTTTGCTGTGACTGATTGGGTGTCTGATTCTCTGCTGTGAAGAGGAGGGTGCTGGATCAGGCATGTTCCCTGGCCCCTCGCTCTCTCTGTCCACCTCATTTGCCCTGCTTCCTCAGTCCTCCTCCCTCCTAGCCGCAGCATGAGGATTCAAGGTTGGAGCTCAGTGCAAAGGGAAAACAGAACTCTGAATGGTCTGTGTGGGATTGGAGAAGAGAGACAGAGTTTCAGAGAGAGAGGAGGGGAGACTGGAAGAGAGACATTAAAATTTACATGCAGGGAAATATTTAACTAATGAAAACCAGATGTTATATTAAATAAGCATATCAGAATGTCGAGGTTTTGCATGCTACCTCAGTGCCCTGTTCTCTCCTATTTGACTTAGTCCCAGAATAATCTGATGAGTGTGGCTTAAAGATACAGATCACACGTGGAATTGGGTGTTACTCAAGCAAACAAAATATCTGGGCAATATATCTACTTTATGCACTCAAGCAAGGAAGAAGTCCACAAGAACTCATCAGTCTCCTGGTCTGCAAAGAATACAGAAACAACATGAGCACAGAAGGAAAAGTAAGCAAAACATCTTTACTATTGGTAATATCTTCTCATTAGTATAATAAACAAAGGGATACGGTATTTGGTGACTAATTTAAAATTCATATCTGAATTAGAAATGATACACTGAATACAATATGTAATATATGCTATAATTTATAATGTCTACTAAACTACAATGGAAATAAGCTATCCTAAATAACAAAAATGGATCAAATTTCTATGTGTTAAAGTCTGTGTTTCCTACTTCAAATATTTGCAATAAAGTAAGTTTATTCCAAGCTAATCATAACTAATTTGTAATTCTAAAGTCGGAAAACTCTGTAATCATGAAGTTACCTTTTTTCAAAGAAATGAGTTGTAAAAAAAAGTTATATTTTTTTAGGAAACCATAATTTAAATGCATTAATCTTTGTAATCAGATTGTTTTTATGAACACCAGAAAGTTAAGTGTGACAAAAGTTTTGTGAGAAGACTTCGATTGACAAGACTGAAATATCCTTTTAATCTTAAATAAAACACTTACAAAAGGCACATCAATCTCCAAATGTTATGATCATCAAGGTCAAGCAAGACAACATCACCATGCAAATTCTGATTTGAAAAGCTCTGTTATGGCACAATTTAGGCACTTTCCACAGAAATCCTACGGAACAATATCTTCCCCATATAAAAATCAGCATGATTTTATGAAAAATTAATACTAATACAATTTGAATTACTAATATTAAGAGACTACGAACAGACAAGAGTTCTAAAGCCCTTCGCCGAGAGAATAATACATAGAATTACACTATACTTCTCGCGAATGGATGTCACAGAGCGAAGAGAAGGATAGGCATGTGAACCATTATCAAACAATTGAAGTCAAAAAAATCCACATTCTCTACACGCTCATAACATTACATTACAAGCTGGCAACATTTAGCACTAGTTGTTATTGTACATTATTCGCCCATTGATAATAGGATAGGGTAGACACAAACAGTATATTCATCCCATATCCTGTCTAACGGTCTGTCATCTCAAACATATTATCAAATTCTGACGTAGATACACAACATCTGGATACTGAACAAAGATCGACCTCATTCATACTAAATGAAGTTAATGTATCGGTATGAGACATCTGTATAAAAAATGATATGTAAGACATCCGAATTGTCAAGATGTATAATTACTATATCTCACTTTATTTCATTCTAACTGGAATATAAACTATAGAGACACATATATAAAGTTCTAGGTCAATTTAGCGGTTTATCTACATAAATGAGAAAAAAATGCAACATTCTTAAGGGATAAAAAAAATAGAAATCTACCAGTCCAAAAAATACATTCGTAATAAATAATAAAATATAATCTGATTTCATAATACATAAAGTTGAAGACTAATAAAACCAAACATCTAATTTATGAGAATCAACACAATATAATAGTTAAAATTCGAGAAATTATACGACACAAATCGGCTCACTTCGCCTCGCAATCTAGTCTCCAAGCAAACCAGTTTGTATTCCATAAGATCGAGTAATAAGGAGATATAACGTATAACTCATGATGCGTCTGCAGATAAGATAAGTTCCAACCAAACAAAGAGCAAATATTTCCCGTTCCTCTGCCTTTTTTGTTATCGGCCCTTCAATGAATCGAAATGCCCAACCCACTTTTTGTAGGGGACTCTACTACGACTGACAATGATCATCTTTCAAATAACCCACAGACACACAAATAAACTACCATTATTCGGCGCACCCTGGTATGCCACAAGTTGAAAGTAAAATAACCAGCACATGCAGTATGGGAAGCATTTAATAGGTGGGCTAAAACAGTTCTTAGACTAGACTAGTTAAGAAACAGAAATACTATCAGTGTGATAGAATTATCTTATTAGTCATGAAAAGTACAATATTTATTGAAATATGATACACTGACATAGAAATTCTAAGCTGAAAATAAAGTTTAAACTAGCAAAAAAGAATAACAACATGATACACTTTAATGAGGAAAGTGATTGGATAATGCAGAATAAAAGCAAAGAAGGAAGTTCATAGTTCGATGTCAATAATTGTGTCAAATGATCATTCCCATGATTAAAAGTATTCCAGTGTCACAAAGTAAATAGTGTGATACTAAGCATTAGTCAATTTAGCCACAACCAAGACAACGGTGTATTTTTTTTCCCACGATCAGGAAGTCTAATCCAGTTGTGCTCATAACCATCCTATTTTCATAAAACTAGTCCAGCATTGACCAATAAAACGTTAGTTGTTTATTTGATTAGATATCAGTGACTTTATCGTATAATATTGTTAACAACATACTGAATGCACATGATAACACATGTTCAGACCAACTTACTACTTCTATAACTAAAATGAACCAATAAGGTAGACACTCACCATGCAGACCAACAAAGATTAGCAGTACAGCCACCGTAAGATCATCTCCTTACACTGGAACTTCGACCCCCAGTTATTGTTAAGTTATGACCAGTGACAGAGCACATAAGTCACACTAAGTAATGATAAATATTTAGTGTCGCTTGTGGAACTTTTCATTAAACCGCTTAAGAAAATACACATAATTCATGGTCTTGGGAATAGGAAAAGCATTCAGTAGAAAAACTATCCAGCTTTATCCGATCAAAGTCTTTTAAATTATATGCAGAATACGCTCACCTAGCAAATCCAGGTCCTGTCTCGGTACTGTGTACATAAGACATATCTTCTCTATTGCTGCGGCCCTTCTTCTATACCTACGATACTCTTGGCGTCAGTATCGTCCCAACAAAAGTCGGCGAGTGTTAATAACTCATAAGCAATGCTGATACGACGAATCTCTAGTCATTCTAATGTTCTCTGCTGCTAGTATAAATATATGCAAACATTTTCCCTGAAATGCTATCGGTGAAAGCCAACCAACGATCTTACTTTCATCCACACGATGCCGTTTTGTATTAGAGCAAATCTTTAAAAAACCTGCCAGTAGTATCACTTCTTCCACTTTAAGAAAAGTTACACCGTGGTACAGGTATCCTTGTCAAGACACATAAATCATACGTCCAATAATGTATAGTCATATCTATATCTGTTGCTATTTAAACTTTTTGTTAACTTTAACTGCCTGGTGGTTATGGTGTATGTATAAGTTAAAGGTGAGATTGATTACATGTCCCTATGAACGGTACTCAACTTTTCGAAAATACAGCAATCTATTCATAATACTATCTCTAACTGACAGCCTTGTCAGGTCTAAAACAAAAAGCCCTGGTCTCCCCCACCAGGAGCTACATTCTTCCAATCAACAGGGCACCTGCAAGTTGAAACAAAGGACGAGTAACTTATTGCACTGCTGAACCTTAGGATGAGACCAGTCTTGCCAAAGAAAAAAATTCTCACATTGTTATCTTAATAATTTAAGTCATCGAACTATCATGCTACTGCTTAAAGATAAACTCTCTCTACAAAAACAAACTAGTTATCGAACAAAAAACAAAAGAGAATGACTTTCGACCATGAAGAGAATGAAAAATTTTGTTAACTACATTGATGTATTGATATCATATTTCATCAATGCATCAGAGAGTCATTCTGTCCGAACCCGAGAAAAGATCTCAAGAGTCAAAACTTGACACATAAACAAATCTAATAATTCCTTAGTATATCCTAAATTAATAGCATACCATATTATAATGTGTCATTAGATTACAAAATAATTTCTTTTTCCAGTATACTAAGCCCCTTTCTTCCTTATAATTTAAAGCTTTTTTGTATCCTCCAGATTTCACTAAACTATTATTTTATAACATTGCTACCCCACATAAGGAAATACAACATTACATGACTAGCAGATATAGCTTATAATCAGACGACTACCACCAATCACTATGAGAGAAACATCTGTGGTTTAACTAACATTATAAAGCTCTTCACAGAGTAACAAAAATTCAAAAACAATACAGCAGTACATAACATAACATTCTCACAGTTAATTAATATATATTTGACTGTCTGAGACAGTGTTGAACAGGACATCAATCACTATCCTCTACATCCTTCAAATCCACATCTTATACTCTGAACACATTCTGTAAGATCACTTTAGCCGCAACATAATAATACAGACTGTGAGATGTGAGCATCGTTACACTAGTATAAACTGTGATAAATTATTACCAAAAATCGAGACTTTGCCAAAGCTAAATTTACTAATATAATCGACGCAACGCACACATCTTGATCTAGCGGTGGAGGAGGAGAAATCTGGAGAGAGAAGGACCTAGATAGAGACAGTAGTGTGTCCATCTCAGGGCATTAGGGAACCGACACTGTTGATTATATGGTATTCTGTCATTACGAGAACGTCACGATAGCTAATCAATCCACATTCCATCTTTTCTGAAATACATTATATCTATAACGACCCTTTTAATGTATACATTAAACTTCTCAGTTACTGGGGCTTAATTGACCAAGCAAATAGTATCAACAGATTCTCTTTGTGCCTACATTAGCTATAATAGTTATACCGACACAGAAGGTAAATTGCGGATTCGGTATCGTGAACGACATCAACACACGTCTACATCATATTTGGCAACTAAGTTACAGCTCAGGACATTGGAACTGCACCTAAGTAACCAGTCCCCAACACCTCCAAGTTTATTTAAAATCAACGGTATTTAGGACATGCCTACAGCATGTTACGAAATTAAGCAGCACAGACTACATTAAATCTGTGCTGAGAAAAAATAAGACTTAGAGGAGCATCGGTCTAATATGTAACCATATTTTATTTTGCAAAGAAACGCATCCTTATCTCACCCGGGAATGAATGCTCCATATAATGTAGAACACATTATCTTGTATTCTAGTTCTTCCTCTAGATTACTACTTATGCATCATAAGCCTTTCTTTTCAGCAAAACACAATGTCTGGTGTCGTAGAGCACCAGAATAAGGTTCATCAGCTCATATCATTAATTCTAAATTAAGTGTACACGAAAGCACCCTATTCGTACGCCCTTTTCAAGGCCACGATAGTCAGACAAGAAAAGAGACTCAAAAGCGATACTATCCATGTACAAGATAGTAAGCAAATCATCCCTTGATTCACTTCAATACCGAGGACACAAACTAAAAGATATCCATCATCTTATTTTGTATTCATTTTCCAGTGAAAAATGCAAAGCCTGCGGTGCGAATATGGGAGCAGCTTAAACAAACCTTTTTTCCATTGATGGAAGTGGAGCGACATTACTACACCCCCTTATCAAGGCACCATGAAACGTCTTAGTTTTAGAGAAGAGCTGAAAGATCTTTCTTTCACTTCTACTTGTTAACCACTATTATAGCTTTAAAAAAGATAGCAGAAAATATTCGAAAAACAACCTAACCAAAAGGAAGGCACACAGATGGCAAAATAAACTATAACTCTCATATTAGAAGAAAGGCAATTTGTTGACACTTATGACTACTTCACCATTCGACTATTGAAGTCTAGATGATGCAATACGAGAAAAAAAATCTGACATTATGGGCAATCCATTTACATGGTTCCATACATTAAGAGCAAACATGTTGAATTTAGTCAGATACAACAGAAATCATCTCTGTTATAGTGCATTGTATATAATTAAATGATCTAAAAGTGACAGAGGCATATCCGACAAATCAAGAACTTTCATTCTCTCAAATTCCTACAGTAAACCCCTAAATCAAATAACTGTAGCATCCTGTAACAAGGATCGAAGTACCACTATGGTACACCCTACATACATACAAAAATTAATAAAATATAAATAGTCTAAAACCGACCATGAATTCGTAGGATATCGGTACGAATAAAAAACCTACCAACTTATCCATGTCTCTGAGACAATAGGCTACTTATCATTTCATGTAAGAGTATTAGAATCACATACCGCAATATCTAAAAAGAAGATCTAATTCTATAAATAAATATAGATTCTTGTTTATCAATATATAGAATAGAATTATTTAATAATTAAAATTCTTAGATTATGATTAAATAGTTTATATAGACAAGAGTTAATACATTCTTAATTCAATTAAATATATCAGAAAATGGTCATGAAGGATAGAAAGGTTTCTAAAGCAACTAAGCATAACCTTGACAATTGGAGAATAAACAACACAACACACAATTATTGTAACATACCATGGCTAAAATGACGCCAAGCAGAAGAAAAACTTATATTTAATATTCTATACAAAACCTGCCAAGACATACTTTAAATCTAATACAGAGCACTCATAATTATTTTGGCTATAAATGAATCAAACTCTGTATGTGAAACTATATAAAATGCCTATCCGTCCAAATAGGTCATTTAATATCCTCTTACTAGAATAAGAATTAACACTCGATCAATCTCTACCCATATTTCTCAAGCCATATAAAGGTGCGATGCAGCACCAGAATGAGAATAACTGCATCACTGTATAACCAATTACGTAGATTGGTCTACTCAAGGTGCACACATTTATAGAGCTACTCCCAATCATGCATGTGATCCTAGGCTTGGCATTACCGCTGGCATTGGTGCTGCACACCTAATGAAGAGCATCTTGAAACAGCGGTGACCACTCTGAAGAGCCTACACACCCAGGTACAAAAACTTTGATCACTCACTAAAGAGAGGGATGATGACAATCCTTGTTCATGACCAAGAATCAGCCTGAGGGCAAACTGAGAGCCAAAGGGCAGATGGAAAACTAGTGACCAGGTTACATCAGCCACGCTCGACCCTGAAGAAATGTAAATCACAAACTTAGCTCACCTCAAAATACCTGCCTGACAGGGGCTTCTGGCACCCAGACGACATCATGGTAGCTGTATTACCTCTCTTTTTTTTAACGCCGATCAAGGCAGCTGCAAGCTTTATTACCATGAGGCGTCCAATTTATCTACTATCAAAGGTCAGAGACCATAGGTAAAACCATAGACATTAGCCAGGTGAAAGAGCGACGTAGGGACAACGAGGCTAGTACTCACACAAGGAAGACCAACAGCGCTCTGCCAACTGTCGAGTACCAAATCACATCTAACCCAGTCAGTCTGCAGGGCACTGTCTCTCCAGGGCCCAAACGAAGCAGGGGACGAGGGATCACCCAGCGTCGGCCGATCCTAGGGCAGCGTGTGAATCTGCTCTGTGCCGGAGTGCACACCGGGCTGGGTGCCACAGCAGAATCAGCACGGTCTGGGCTTAGGAGACAGCGTGACAAATGTCACCCAGTTTTCCTCTTCCACCCGAGCCTCCTTCTTCCGCCGAAATGAATGACACAGACGAATGAATGAACATAAGCAGAAAGGCATCGCACCCAACAGTCTGTTGTATTACCTTTAGCCATGACTAAATGTGACTGCTTACAAATTATAAATTATTTTATCTTTAATATTTATTTACCCTAATTTTATTGTGTAGTCATATAAATGCTTTCACAGGGAAAGGGTGACTAAATGGAAAATTTTCATTATCACCATTCCCCCATAAGGTCTATCTATAAAATTTGGTGGGCCAGCCATTTTTCTTGGTCTTGTAGGATAGGTAAAATAGATGTTTATAAATAAGAATTATGTTTAATTCTAAAAAATCCCTTTAGCCAAGAGATTCGATCTTTCACCTTACCAAATACTTAAAACTGTGAACAGTGATTAATAAAACCAACGGTCTAGTTTGAGCTTCTACTCTTCGAACTTCCTATAGCTAGAAATAAATTAATAACAAAATGACACCCTTTCTTTTCACCCCTTCTCCTTTCACCATAGCAGGAAAAAGAGAAAATTCATAAATTATCAACTAAAAACACCTGAAAGTCAGCTATTCTCCTAAAAGAACGTGCCTAACTCATAGTTGAGGGTTGAGGTTTTCAGAGTCGTTTCTTCCATTCTTCTTTGTGCCTATTTTTGTTAGTTTTCCTCAAAGAGAAATTAAGATATTTTTAAAACGCATTCACTACATATTAAAGATAAGCATAGTCACTTTGAAAAGCCAAGAATTGGTTATCCAAATTTCAAAAATCTCATTTTTCAAATATCCAAAAATCTCATTTTTATGTTAGCTCAAATTATTATGAAATATCACCTCTCCCCAACTTCCTGTGGACGTATGGCAGCCCACTTTTAACTATAAATGTTATCGATCCTTACAGTGAGAATTTTGCATATTTAATCAGGACACTCAATAAAAGTTAACTATACACAGAAATAATTTTTAAAATCCATGTTGTTTTCCACATTTACATTTCCTCTTCAGGAATCTTCAGGCACATGGAACCCAAACCAACACCAATGCTGGCAGCCAATGACCAGTGACATAGTAGTGACTGGACCCTAGTTCATGGACATTCTCACAAGCTCTAAGTTCTTCCTCTGTAAATTTCTGGAAATTTCACAAGAATCTGTTTTATCCCCTTCCAGGTGACAAAGTCATCCCACTCTTTACTCCTCAGTGTGGAAAATGCAGAATCTGTAAACATCCTGAAAGCAATTTCTGCTTAAAGAACGAGTAGGTTTTTGCTCCTCTCTTTGCCCAACCCTTGAGTTTGCACATAGTCATGTTCCTCTCTCACACCCTGGTGTGTCTGTGTCGCACTGAGCAGCCTGGGCAAGCTTCGGGGGACCATGCAGGACGGCACCACCAGGTTCACCTGCAAGGGGAAGCCGGTCCACCACTTCCTCGGCATCAGCACCTTCTCCCAGTACACCGTGGTGGATGAGAATGCCGTGGCCAAGATCGATGCAGCTGCACCGCTGGAGAAAGTTTGCCTCATTGGCTGTGGATTCTCCACTGGTTATGGGTCTGCAGTCAAAATCGCCAAGGTAGGCGCGCCAGTGGGCAGTAAGACCACTTACACTCAGATTGGCAGGAGCCATAAAGGAAGCAATTTCTCACAAGAGTCACAGATTATTTTCATAGCTGTGCAGTGTTGATTACGAGCTGAAAAATGGCCCCAGAAGGAACAGAGAACATGTCTCCAAAACTCAACTGTTAATTGGAAATTTCAACTGATTGAAACAACTAATTGAAAAATTCAACTGATAAACAGCTGCTCATACTTGGTTAGGAAAAACTAAAGATTTCATTTGCAATCATTATTCTTCTATATTTTTCCTTTTTTGAGATATTAAATTTTAGGGTCGAGAGTTCATTTAGTCATTTATTCTACAATTAGAGAGCACCTGGGCATGCATTAGGCACGGGAGGTTCTGAGGCAGCAAAGATAAAGGAAAGGAAGGGTTTGCCTGGCAAGAGCATCCAGTCCATGGATCCCCCGCTCCCACGTTTAGGATCAACAGTAGATTCCAAAGCTTCACCTGATACATTTGCAAACCAAAGTCACCCACTCCTGCGGATTCTACAGGGAAGTAATAAGGCTCGTGACAGGCTTATCACCTCACTGTTGGAGTCATCTGCGTCCCTTCCCCGCCATGACACACACACACTCCCCACAATGGCAGTTTCAAGAGAAATGCTTTAAAGCTCTCTTCCTCCAAAGCTGAAATTCTGAGCATGGTATCTGCAGTACTCTTCATTTTTGTTGAAACAGCGTCCAAGACATAACTCCCTGCTGTAGTATGAGAGCTGACATTGATATCTTTCTGAAAATCTCTTGCTGGTATCTTAAATCACAATACGTAATTGCTAGCACTTGTCCAAATCCATCACAGCCTCTGTGTTTTTCTTAGTAATGGTAGAAAGTCATTATTGTACCATGTCGTACTGAACAACATTTGCTGGATGAATGATGAATAGACCACACTTAAGGGATTGACCAATGAGATTACTGGGACAGGAAGAGCATTTACCCACACTGAAGGCTGACTGTGAAGTCAGGCTTATTAAACAGCCCCTGGACAATTTAAACAATTTTAGAGTACATCCTTTCCAAATGTCTGTGATTTGGCACTTACTCCCTTCGAGCAATGTCTCATCTGTTTTGCAGGTGGTGTAAGTGGGCCTCCCATAGAGGACGAGCCACAATACTCATGAATATAGGATTTATTCACTATGACATATCCAACTTTTGTTGCATCTATTGTTCACGTAGTGTATTGTTTAAAGCAGGGTTTACTGTCATGACTGCTGAAAGTAATGAACCAAGCAGTGAATCATTTGAGGGTTTTGATGAATAATTTTCATCTCCTTAAGTAGCCCTTTTCCCACCTTATGCCATTTTACCAAGCTGCCCTTGTGCATGTATGAGATACAAAAGCTTGGCTATCAGTGGCTCTCTGCCATTAATTCCTCTTCAAGATTGCAAGCTACCGGACATTTAGATCAAGATCATGCATCCCGTGGGCTCACTGGGACTGGTTGCACCTGCAGAGGTACTGATTTAATTGGTACAGGCTGTGACTTGGGCATTGGGATGTTTTAAAGCTCACCAGATGAGTGTAATATGCAGCAAAGCTTGAGAACCACTGACCTACTTTGACCCCCTCAATTTAAACATGAAACAACTAAAGCTTTTGACAACAGATCGGACATGAGAGCCTGAGTGACTCTTGACAACAGGCAAGGCATGGCACTTTATAAAGCCTAGGCACATTCCGGCAATCATTACTTAATCCATTTTTGCATTTCTCAATACACAGGTCACCCAGGGCTCTAGCTGTGCTGTGTTTGGCCTGGGAGGTGTTGGCCTGTCTGTCATCATGGGCTGTAAAGCAGCCGGAGCAGCCAGGATCATTGGTGTGGACATCAACAAGAATAAATTTGCAAAGGCCAAAGAGTTGGGTGCCACTGAATGCATCGACCCTCAAGACCACAAGAAACCCATCCATGAGGTGATCAATGAAATGGCTGACGGAGGTGTGGATTTTTCGTTTGAGGTCGTTGGTCTGCGTGACACTCTGGTACGTACAATGATATGTGGAAATTTCTGCTTCTGCAATTTGGAGTGTGCTTTAGACAGCAGAGTATAAATATTGGGCATAAGTAATATTTTTAACATAATGAATGGTAATTTTCCATCTCACCTGGCTTGTTTAATTTATTGTTGAGAAATCTTTCATTCCATCACCTAAGCAGGCCTGCCTCAAGTAATATTTCCATTTTAGAGAAGAAAAGGGTTTGTTTGTAATTGAACCATTACAGACTTACTTGGTTAATTTTTAGTAAAAAAAATTCAAACTCTAGTAAATGTAAACAATACAAATTCTGTTCTCAAATTGGTATTATTTTCCCTCCATATTCTTAACAAAAATGGCTTAACAATTCTTTACATGCTTTAATCTATTCTAATGTTTTCATATATCATACTTTTCCTAAAAGGAATGAGCAATTTTAGGTACAGAATTATTTCATTAACTGAAAATGTGCCCTAAGGAAACTGAAAATGATGCCCCGCTTTAGGGCATCCTGTATTTTTCCCACAGAGAGAGCACAGTGCCTGGTGCCTATCTTGTACCCAATATCGATATGTTGGACTTAATACTTTAAAAAATCAACGATTTACCAGCCCCAAAACTGGAGAGCTACATACCTATCTCATTGCATTGTTTATGGATTGCATGAGATAACACAGGTAAGGGACTGAGCACAGTGCCACCTATCCTACAGCAAGCTCTCAAGAAATGTCAGCCAGCGTTAGTATTATTGATATGAAATACTATTTCCAATCTTGCAGTGTTTGTACCATCTTTGAAATATACATCCTATTACTTTCAAATAAGTACAAATATCATCAGCTGCAATGGAAAACACATCTCCAGCTATATTTTACCCACACTGAATCTTCTAGAATCCTGCTGAATAAGTCCACAGAGACCAACAACTCCCCATTGCTGAGGTTCTCCAGGAAGTCTCAGCAGTGTGGTGAAGGGGAGCAGCACCCTGAAAGTAAAGCCCTTTGCAGCTTTGATCTGGGACAACATGCTGTACAAGCATGGAGATTGACAAGAATCCAACTTTCTCCCAGGCTGTAGTTTTCATTTTTATGCTCCTTTACTATTGTTTTCATCAATTTTCTCATGTGGACCTGAATTGCTGCCTTATTTGAAGATACCAAATGCCAGACAGACACATGTTCTGAGCATATCTGGTCTTCCAAATGTCATCATGCAAAATCAGAGGACTAATCATTATTTGTCTTAGGGGATCCTAAACAATTTTCTTACTACAGAACATGTTCAAAAGGTGACTAGAGAGGGAAGACTTTCTGGACCGACTTTTGAGGTTACAGAATAATAGGTGTAGTGTAAAGATAAACCAATATACATTTGAGGGAAGGAAAAACAATGTTTCAAACATATCCCTTTTAGAAATGGAAAAAAGAATAGTAATTGATTAAAAAGGGAAACCATCAAGTAGACAAGAGACAAATTTTGAGGATGTAGTCATTGCATCTCCTTAACCAACAAATTCTTTGGTTCAATGTGCCAGGTTCAAATCATCTACTTAATAAATCATTGAAAAATGGATTAACCAGCTCAAAGATTGCCTGAGAATTATGTGATGATGAAACAGTACCCTTCCTTAACGAACCATAATTTACATGTTTGTAATGATGTTTGCCTCCTTATTACTTTAGAAGAAAGTGTTAACTACACACAAATGCATTCATCTATTTTTTCATTCAAAAAACATTTTCTGGGCATTTCCTAAATCCACAGCACTAACCTAGACAGAAAAAGGAATGAAAAACAAAAAGATGTAATCTCCTCCCTCTGCACACTCACAATCTAGCTAAATCCATATTATCAGTAGAAACTATCAGAGAGTCCGTTGTAAGGACACTCAGTGTTGATTTTATTCCAGATGTCTGCCCTGTTATGTTGTCACGAGGCGTGTGGCACAAGCGTCGTTGTCGGGGTAGCTCCTGGTTCTGATACCCTTTCCGTCAACCCTCTAGTGCTACTGACTGGCCGCACGTGGACAGGAGGTATTTTTGGAGGTATGTACTTACACTTAAAGGCCAAATTGTCATTAACCTCAAAATCTCTCCCCTTTTACAAGTGACAAGGCCAGATTTTGGAAAGCCACATGGTCAAAAATTAATCAAAACTCCTGTGGCATCTGTAGGCTCCAAATCAACTAGATGTGGAACTAAGGAAGACAGAGGTCCTAAGACAGAATATCCTCCTGTCCCTTTAAACTAACTAGAATCTCTTTTATACTCGTGACTGCATAAGACACCAAAATTTCTAATGGGACAGAGAAAGTCTATAGCACATGTGAATCTATAATTCATGTCTACACTCATCACCCAAATTGAGACAACTGCTAAATTTTCTCCTTGACTTTGGGCATAATCCTCTGCACTAGAATTTCTCCATGAGACAGCTAATGACTTAAGGGCCCTTGTTCATCTGGGAAGATTTTCTTTAAAAGTCAAAGCACTGCAAAAGAACATCTATCAAAGCACTCTGTATCTCTGTGAACTCAGTAATAGCAGTCTGAGGAATGTGGCACATTTTATAAACTTTCATCTCAAGCTTATTTAGAAAGTCTTCTCTCCAATTCTCCTCCTCACCCCTGGCCGAATCTAACAATGATATTGTTTCTTTTCAGGCTATAAGAGTAAAGACTCTGTCCCCAAACTTGTGGCTGATTTTATGGCTAAGAAGTACTCATTTGATGCATTAATATCTCATGTTATGCCTTTTGAAAAAATAAATGAAGGATTTGACCTGCTTCGCTCTGGAAAGAGGTAGGTTGTAAGTTGTTCGCTTTTGCTTTTTGCTTTTTGTGGTAGGGGGTTGGCTAGCAGAGAATGAAAAAGCAGAACGACGAGAGAAAGTGGGAGTGCCTCGGGTTTGCGTTACCAGCTCAGGCTTCCCATGTAGAGCACCGAGACGCCACCGTGGGCGCTGAGAACAGTCGTGTTGCGCTTCCTGCTCTGTCGGAGCCAAATTATCTTGGTTACAGCAAAAGGAAGGATCAGAGCCACTCAGCCTTCTTTGCAAGAGACACCTTTGGTAAAATGAAAAATTGGGTCACACAATCCTAATTACACTATGGAGTCACTGAAGCCTCTGCCTGGACCCCTGAATAAGGCTGACATTTAGGGACTGTAAATTTAAATTATATTCAGGACATGCCCAATACTTTCATTGTGGGAGGAGATAGAACTACACCGGATTTTTTTTCTATTCAGACACTACTAGTTTTTGTTTTTGTTCTTGTTTTTGCAACTTACAAAGAAATTTTTACAAGTAAAAGTTAAAGGGGAAGGGTACAAAATACTTTTAACTGTTTGTCTTAACTTTTCTCTAAAGCTTAGAAAATAAGCCAATTCTATTAAATATTTACTACTTCTAACATTTACCATTTACAGCCAGCTAGTCAGATGAATTTCGTCACCTGCATTTAAACAAAACACAACTAGTAATAGGCAGTTGTATCCAACCCCTGCCTTCTAGCCCCATAGTCCATGGTTTTTATGCTACCCCACACTTCTTCTCATGGGGTTTTTAACTTTAAGTAGTATTTCCTGGGCACTCACATCAAATGTTATATTAGACACTTCATCTGACTAATATTCTTGAGAAAGGAAAGAAACAAGCAGCTACAGAGCACCAGCTATTCTACTAATTGTCTTATCTGTATTATCTTGTGTGATTCCCAAACAATACGGATATTCCAGTTCCAATTTCACCATCTTAGGAGAAACCTGAGACTCAGAGAGGACACATCCAGGCCAAAACCATTCAGGTAGTTAAGAGGGGAGCGGAATTCAAAGATCTGGTTGTTAGCAAATCAATTCACTTTCTATTAAAATACACTGCAAGAGTGTGTGTGTGTGTGTGTGTGTGTGTGTGTTTACACATACATATATGTATATATAGACTACAGTAGTCACCAAACGTTAGTTATTATCCTCATTATGATTATCGTCATCATGTTGGAAAGATGATGTGTATAAAGAGATGACCAAACCCAGACAGCAGTGTTGAACAACAAAGGAATTCATTAGGTGCACCTAAATGCACTTTATGAGAGTGTCATACAATTCAATATATGCATTTACATATAATGAATCCTACTAATATAAGCAAAGATCAAAAATTGCAATGCTTGATATTGGTAAAGGTAAGGTGACATGGGCACCTATGTGGGCTGCTTGTAGGAGTATTAATTGTTACATCCTTTTGGAAAAGGAATTTGATAATTTGTATCAGAAACATTGAGAAACCTTAGATCCTTTGTGCCAGCAATTTCATTTCTAGAAAACTATTCAACAGAAATAATCAAATATTGAAACATACATATGTGTTTAAGCATATGTATCTCTTACGTATAATATAAAGACTAGAAACATCCTGAAAGTCCAACATTAAGCAAATGACTAAATAAATTCCAATTATGTATTACAAATTCATGAAGCCATTAAAAAGAAATGATTGCATTACACTGGGAGAGTCTCTTGATATCATCTTTGTTCATAAAATAGAGAATACTAATTATATATATAATCTGATCCCAAATTTTCAACAAGCACAGATGTCTATTAAAAAGTTTATTAAAATACAAGAAAATACTAACAATGGTGATTTCAAGGTTGTGGATACCAGATTATTATTCTTTCTTCTTTATACTGTCCTGTACTTTATAAATTATCTACATGTTTTCTTATATTTGTATAACATATATATGTAAAATATTTTAAAGAGGCATGAAGACCATGTTCTTCTAAAAGCATTTAACCATCAGAAGATGGTTTTTAGAAAGGGTATGATGTGTAAAGCCAAGTGTAAATGTTACATTTCCAACTTTTACAAGAATGAAGTCTCTTACAGTTAATACAAACAGCTTTATTATCTAATTTTAAGAATCTTTAAACATCTCTACATTAAAGCTCTATTAAATTTTCAGCATAGCCGTAGCGTCATTAAATTAACAGTTCCTTCAGGCTTGTATCTTGTAACTTATACAATTTTGTATTTAACGCAATTGGAATGCAACACCCACACTAGACATGACTGAACAAGCTA